GAATTCGGCAACCTAATTAACGTATTCACGAATACACGAATGTACACTAACGGCACAGAATTTGCTTTAACGCTCTTTCAATAAACGCTCTTTGAATCGTTGCTCGGAAAATTATAATTAATGCTTTAGTTTACAGGCTAAAATAATACTCGTGCGTATCAAAGAATTGTTGGCTAACTGAGATCAGAGCATTTCCCTTTTCCGCTGGTACGGAGATAAAGGAAACCCTCACACGAGCGAATTCACAAAATCTTCTCACGTCATTTCAGTAATTATTTTTGTGGTATCATAATGGCGTTTAACCGAGAGATAATATAATTTCCCGCATGCATTTTTAGTTTTCATTGATAAGAAAATGTGCTCATGTTGAGTTATCTTCATACGATATGCGATTAAAAGTACCTCTCGCGAAAAAAATGTACAGAATGAAGGAGTAAGCCAGCAGATGTGTTTTTAAGATGTTCATTGTTTGCTAAATGGAGGATGTTTATGGAATACTAGATTTAATATGCGCTCCTCTAGGAATTAGAAAAAAGATGTGCTCGTTCAAAGGAAATCATCTTTCTGAAGTTACTTAAATCAAAGAATACAGCAACTTTAAAACATCCGCGAAGAACCTTGAGGGAGAACCAGTTAATAATTTCACATAAAAATCAGGGATTTTCTGGATTTTTTTTGCGAAGTAAAGAATTTTCCGCGTCTAATTATGGATTTCGAGGATGATTTTTTGAAAGTCACCATCAAACGAACACGTAAAACCGCGAATCGTGGTTCACAACATAAAATGTTTTTGGTAAACACGATCCCCACAAAACAATCGGAAGGAACGATCGATCGATCTCCAAGGCTGCTCCGACAAAATCCTTCCTCTTTATCATCACTACCAGATGACCGCAATCTATTCCGTATATCGCATGTTTACAGTTTGAAATTCTGAGATAAACGTAAAATTTAACGGCCTATTTGAAAAGAGGAAAGCAAGAAGAAGGCATTCCTGTAACATTGGAGACAATCTTTAAATAAGCCTGATTCGTTTTTTCTAAAGAAGCACGCCAGGCAGGGAAAGGTGATCGAGTGGCTAGTATAGGGCCTGCCTGCTTCCTTCGCGGATGTACAGTTTACGGCTTGGATTTTCTCGAGTGGAAATTTTAGGGCAAAAAGTGAGGAAATCCTGAGGTAGATTAGTCGAGGCGTAAAAATGAAGGCTATAGGAAATATTTTCACAGCAAATTGACAACTGAATGTACAAAAATTATTTTGATGGCATCACTAGACAGACAGTTGCGGCGTTGCTGCTTGTTTGATTCTACGCCGGACAATTTTTGGATATTTGTTCTTTAAATGTAATATAATCTTCAGCTATTCATCCCAAAAATATTAATCAAGGAAAATCTAGACCGTGTCCGTCATACATGTCTTAATTTTCCTATCTTCATTTTCAATGTATGTTCGGGCAAGATGATATACCTTACTCGGCTTTTCTGCGAGCTTGATACTCTTTAATAAAACAAAATCAAAGGCTTTGCAGTTTTCCATATATTGAACAAAATTAGAGGGCATTAAATCGTGGGAGATGCACGTGGAAAGAAAAATTTGATTGCTGTATCGAATGTTGAGGCATATGAGCAGTAGAATTACCGATTTGATTCATTTGATTCAAGCAATCGTAGGACAGTATATTAATCAAATCATCCTCACACGGAGAAAAAGATATTCGATTAAAATATCTGTGTCCCGATTACATCAAACGAATCAATACTATACAGGGTACGAAATGAAGCTCACGTGAGCTTCTCTCATTTCATTTGTTACTTGCGGTACCTCCTATTCCCCGGTCCATTCCAGTTTATAATATTTGCAATTGGTCGAACAGTAATCCTCATTCCCTTTTGAAACACTCACTGGAAAAAAAACAAATTGGATCTAGAGTCCAGACCCTTAAAAACATCGACAAGAAAAAATACTCTTGATTACTCAGATTTAAGCTTAAATCAAGAACCAAGCCTCTTAATTCGAGCGGATTTCCTTTTAATTTAAGCTTAAATCAGATCGAATCAAGAGTCCTTTTTCTCGTCAATGTTTTCAAGAGTCTGGACTCTAGATCCAATGTTTTTTTTTTTCCAGTGCTGTGAAGACCTAAAGTACGGGAACCAATCAGAAATGGATTCGCATTGTCTTTGCAGTATAAAGGGACTCTCATTAACCCTCACAATGTTCACTTCACAACCTCTTCGGTTCACATTAGAAAACATTATGAGAACAAAATCACCCCCATAAAAGCAACAAGTTGTCTCAATCGAGAATTGACGGACGCACCCATTCCTCTACTAAATGTTACCGGGAGCTGAACTACTTTTTCGGCTCTCCCATCGTGCAGAAGCAGACGTGGGGAGGAACCACGTATCTGCACGAGTTTTTCACGGGAGATACGCTGTTTTCGCGGGGCCCTCGGGAATGGAGCTCGGAGATTTGCCCGTGTTTTTCACGCGTCCAAATGGCACGGTAATCACTCCAAATCGCTACCCCTGCCCACCCCCCGCCTCGCCCCTCTCGTCTCACCCCTCATCCCTCCAGCTCACACGCTTCTCAACTTCTCATCCGTCCGTCCGGGTCTCTTTAATCATTCACAATCCCCTACAGCTCCCCGCGAACAACTTAATCCACCGATTAGCCCTGATCGGTGCAAACAAACAAATACCTCCGTCTCCTCTGTTTTTCCCTCGCCCTGTTGGTGCATCAAATGGATTGGTAGTATTTTAAATTAGGGACTCCTTTGAATTCGAGGCGCTTCTACGGAGGGATTTTTCAGCAGGGCGTCTACTAAAGAAGGCTAGCCAAAAATCAGTACTGTTACAGTAATTTTCAGTAAATTCGCAAGAAATTGAGTGTCTCATCAACAAAAAACTTCTATTAGAGGTCTTCTAGCCGCCATGACCAGCGACCGGAAACATTGTTTTTAGCTTTTAGATTTTTTTAATTCTTTTTTGACGGTTGATGATGACCGGGAGACCGGTCGAAATTTCCCGTGATTTATAATAATTGGACTGGATTTTGCAATTTTGAACTGTAAATTCAGGCCCGGTTTAAAAACAACGTATGTGCCATTAGTTTTCCGATGCACATAAGTGTTTTTTTCAGATGAGCCAGAACTTATAGTTCCAAATTGCAAAATCCAGTCCAACTATTGTGTGTTTATTCAGCCTCATCCCCACCTTTTCCTGTCTATTTTTATACAACGGAAAACGTCAGTACTTTTTAGTACCTCTATGTGACGGAAATTGGAAAATTTCAAAAATTTGGAATTCTTGCTCGAATTTCGACGAAAATGACGTAGAGCAAAATTTCATCGGTGATTTGGAGATTAACTGACTACCTACACAATCGCGATCTCGTAGGCAAATACTACTCTATAGAAATACGCGCAGGTGATTGCATACTTTCCAGGCTTTATTGAAAAAAGAAACACGCGTGGTATGAAAGAAACATTTCCGGACCTTTTGTGGAATTTCCTGACTTTTTCAATTTTTCCGGATTGCCCTTAAAAAAGCAGTATTATTTCCGGAAATTCCGGACTTGTAGACACCATATTCAGGGGTTAGTCATGACTCGAAATCTTGCAGCTTTTGAGCGGGTCCCCCTACCTGACATCAATGAGTTTCTCAATCTCATAATAGCGCTCGTTAATAGTATTTAATATGGCATTTCCAGAAATCCGGAGGAAAAAAAAAGTTGAATCAGTTTTGTAAACTTTTTTGGATTACTTATTCACGCGTAGCAAAATAGACAAGAAGACGATCAGATGGACACTGAAATAATTTTTCTTGAGATATTATTTTGAATTGATGAAGTGTCGTTTCTGGTCGATAAAATTTGGTTTCTTTTTCTTTTTTTAGTTAAGCCCGTGCAGATTTAACTTAGAGTCAGTTATCTTTGGCTAAAGAAACGTTGTTTTCTTTTCGTTTTTTTAAACTTAAACTTAACGATAACAAAATGACGCTAACTCAAAAGAACTGATTTTGAAAGAAAAACAAATTTTGTCGACAAGAAACGACGCACAAGTCAAAATAATATCTCAAGAAAAATTTGTTTCAGTGAAAATTTCCGTTTGTGAAGTAATTGTAAGTCTCTTACACCACTTAAGTCTCTTAAGTCACTACCGTTACTCTAGTTTTAGAAGGTTTCTGATTGCATCTGATCAGCATCCTTATTCTAAAATTGTCTGGAAACTCCCCGAAGTGGAGCGAAAAAGTAGTTTGTTAACCTAAATTATTTCACGAAGCTTTACGTCAATAGAGTTATTTTCAATGTAATCGAGTCAAAATTTCAAGAAGGTATCATCGAGTGAAACTTGTCAAAGTCAAGTTGAAGAATGGTTGAAAGAAGAAATGAGCAAATTGTCAAGGTCATTACCCAAGACCCTGGCTGCTACTGAGCACAGCCCCTAGTGAGTGTCCGCACCCTTAACAATCCCATCGATGCAGTAAAAAAAACCCTTCTTGGGTCTAAAATTGAACAGTATTGGTGTAACGGGCTCAAGTGAAGATTAATACCAACTATTGCCCAAAGAATAGTACAAATTTCGAGAAAAGATTTCTAGAAATGGCTCGTGTAGCAAACGAAATTGCAGTAAGCCAAAGAGCTTAATGTCAAGATGAGCTGAACTTTTCTATTTAAGTATGCTGGAATATAAAACTGAAATATAATCCAATTACATGTAATATTGTCTTCAACAGGAAAGAGTTAAAACCATATTTATTTATTTACGTAAAGGTTATTTATAATACCTCAGAAGTGCGACGAAAAATCACGAAGGGGCCTTCATTCCTGATATTTCAGCAACGCTGAAGGATGAACACAAACTGTCACAGTCTCTGATAACTCGGATAATTTAGAATAAGCTTAATGAAAGGAAAATTGTAGGTCTCAATGGATTCTTAAAAGGATGTTATTTCAAAGGTTTTTGTAATGAAAGGGGCCGGAATTAAGATAATGTTTATTACCTGTATTAATGGCGTGAATATTGCTTTTCTTATTGCTTCTTGCGAATAGAGTAATCACTTTGTTATCACACTAATTCTGAGCCTCACGAGGTAAACAGAGGTAAAAATCATCAACAAAGATGTCACTAAAAACTTTTTCACTAGGATTTTTAAAAATGTATCAAACGAGCGCTAAAAAACAATTGGAAACAAATTCATCCAGTCGAAAAATTTAAAATTTCAGTCCACCATAAAACTTTATTCCAAATGAGAATTCCACAAGTACTGGAGTTTGACGAGAGTGAATCACAAACAAGACGAACACCACACAAAAATAGGAAAATTATCCGTGGGTACACACCTAATCTTCAATGAAATTCGCCGAACCAACAGTTCGTGCTATCTTCGCACTGTCAATAGCAAAATTATGTATGTAGTTAAACCGCAAGGGGCACTGTACTAGAGCAATTCGCACCACGCTTCACTGTACCCTCATCAAATTACTCCGACTCAAAATTTAGAAATCCTCGATTATTGCCGAGAAATCCTCGATTTTTGCCAAAAAAATTGCTCCGAGCCCAGCTAAGGGTTCGAAAAACCTAGCCTAAAATTTTTGCACTAATTCGGCTCGGCAAAATTCGGCCACAGACATCCACAACCGTTCCCTGAAACTTTGGAGAGGGGGCAAACTGAAGATTCCGGAACTGAGGGTCGACGCGACGACTATCGGTCCGTTGAACTCGGCAAATCGCGCAAAAATCTACCGAAATTAATTCGGCAAAAATTCGCAATCTGCTCGGCGGGAAGAGGAGACTGCGATGAGCGCTAGTACCCCACGCGACGGCGTTAGCAAGTAGCGGCCTCGACTGAGAAGCTCGCGAGTCGCAGCCCAGCTCGGGAGCCGATTGAAAACCCCCCCTCCCCTCTCCCCGTACCCCGTTCGCCCCTCCCGCCCGTTGCAAGGCCCCCCTCCACCCGCCCCGGAGCATCGTTAATTGACATTATTTATCCTTTTATTTTTGGCTCTTGTTAATGCTGTTTCCTTATTTTAAAATTTAACGTCTATCGAGGATGGGATACGGCGGGATCTCCGGGGGTTGGGGAATGCCGTTGTTTTTCCGAATGAAATCGATACTTGATGTGCAACCCAGACTGGTGCATATTGCCCGTATTCATAGTAACAGGAAGAACAGGAGTTGAGTTCACCTTCACTGGAAAAAAAAAACACATCGGATCTAGAGTCCAGACTCTTAAAAGCATCGACAAGAAAAAGTACTCTTGATTCAATCAGAATCTAGCTTAAATCAAGAACCAAGCCTCTTGATTTAAGCGGATTTCGTTTTGATTCAAGCAAAAATCCGATTGAATGAAGAGTATTTTTCTTGTCAATGTTTTCAAGAGTCTGGACTCTAGATCCAATGTGTGTGTTTTTTTTTTTTTTTTTTTTTTTTTTTTTTTTCCAGTGTTCGTATGATTTTCAACTCGTCAAAAATGTGGTGTTTTAGTAATTGTGAGCTTTTTCTGGTGTAAATCTCTAATACTGACAGGGAAATTGCGAGTCTTCAGAGTGCTGTTTGTAAAAAAATTGTTCTCTAATGAAATTTGCCCACTCATCTACCAGGAGAAAATTCTCATTCGGTGAGGGACAAAAGATATTTTGGAGCCATTCGGGTATTACGTAAGCCACTTGGAGAGGCAGGGGTCTAGGCATGGCTTACGGGGTCCTAAGAGGGGGGCGGGCAGAATCATGCCCAGGTTTACGTAAGTTTCCCCTGTAAAATAATTATAATAATAATAATAAAAAATTGATGGAAATAATTGTTTTATAATGAAATTTCCTCTTAAAGACACCCATTGAAGTTGGCTTTGTGACGTGATAAACGTCAACATTTGAAAATGTAGCCAAAAAATTATTGTCCGACAGGGCCGGATTAAGGGAGTGGCCACATGGGCCCATGGCGGCCAATTTTGCATTTTTTTTAAATGTAGGTATAAAAAAAATCGGATTCAGAAAATAAATTATCAATGAGAAAAGGGGACCAAAACTCTCTTTCCTGAGAGTATAGTAATTTCTAATTTGGTCGTTTTTCGGTGATACAAGAGACAGCATCTTTAATTATTCGAGTTAAGAGAGGCGAGCTAAACACACAATTTGGCCTGGAGCTCAGCGCAAAGTGGAATGATGACGAGGACTTGAGATGAAAAGGACAAGCCCTCGGCACGGCGGTCGACATGTAACACATATTAGCGCCTACAAGACTGCATGAATACTTCACTCATTGCGTCAAACACAGTGCGGTCGGCGTGAAACGCATAGCGCCTACAAGACTGCAGGAATACTTCACGCATTGCGCCAAACACAGTGAGATCAGCCCGGCGCAGCGGCGGAAGTTCAACCACATTTATGTTTGTTCTTTATAATTTTTTGGTTCATTTCTTCTAAATGGAGGACCTTGTCCACACAGAGATATGTTTATGGAACTTAACTTTCGCGCAAAGTTCCGTGAAATTTTGCTAGTAGTGTTTACAGGGCTTTCGTAAAAAGTATATCCGACACGAGTAAACACGCGTCTTATGCACCCCTCCCCCTCCGGCACATTCACTTGTTGGTTTTTATTGATGTTTCAGAATGAGAAGGGGGCGGCAAAATACAGGCGGCCCATGGGCGGCAAGTAGGTAAATCCGGCCCTGATGTCCGACCGCTTTTACTTGCTCGTTTCACTGTAAGGTGGTTCAATAATGGCTCCGAAAAACTAATAATGAATTCCTGAGAACATAAAGAAAATGGCTAATGTATAAATTTTGTAAATCACAGTATTCGAAATAGAATATTAAATGTAACAAACGTGTATTTAAGAAATTAATTCAAGCCATACCATAATTAAATCCATACTTAGGATACTACAGAATTAAGGAAAACTTGAATAATTGTAACAAATTGTGAAAAGATACGTGAAAAATATGAAAGCAGGGTTCAGTCGCGCATCAAGTAAATTGCACAATGCAATAACGACTCTCTTACGACTTGAAATGCAATACATGACTGAGAGATATCATAATGGATAGGGAACCCCTTGAAGCGGAAGTTCGTCATTCTTACGCTGAACCGTATCTCCACAACGATATTCCTCGGGGCAAGCGGATTGTGCAGATTTCGAGGTGAGGAGGCGATGTCAAATTGACTGCGTAAAAGGGCGCGGGGAGTGTGTAAAAAATGACTTCATGTAGACAAAGGAAAAAAAGGCGAGCCTCATTCCCGGAGCATTTAGACGTAATTCCTACTTTACCCACGCGGTTCGGGACAAGATAAAATTGAGAGGGCCGGAAATTCAGGGACCCTCCGCGGGACGAGAGAACGGGGCTTAAAGTTCAAAGTTAAAATAATGCGTTTAAAGGGCCGTGGAATTGTTTTGCGGCCTCTTCGGGCGAGGTGAAAAACGTGAGGGGAACTTTCAGCCGGGCGCGGGGGTGAAGAATGTTATATTAACCACCGCGCACTGCCGCTTGGCCGTAGCGTCCCCTCTGTGATCGCTTAAAGGTGTCTTAAAACCCCCTAAACCCTCCTCCTCCGACGCCTCTTCCTATCCTGAGGTAAACGGCGGAGGTTGGATAAACGAATTTCTCCTGTGTTTGAATCCTCTTTTTGGGTGTGCGGAGGCACGTTTCGCCTCTTCGTGCGCTTCGAGGAAACGCATTTTGGAGAATTTTTCGGATTTTCGATTCAATTCACTGGTAAGGGAAAGGAATCTCTTGACAACTACGTATCTGTACCAAAAGTGGAAACACATGCAGCCAATGTAGGAGATGTGAGAGCGTATGATTTTGTGATTTAAACAGTATTTCATTGAGCAACCTTGATTAAATCAAGAGGATAATCTAACGATTTCAACTTAGATTAGCCTCACTGCCTTTCATTTCTCTTGTGTTCAATATATTTAACCCTGTATGACATAGTGTTACATATTCGTAACTATACATTTTTTATTTTTTCAAATATAAAACTATTTCTATGTGGATGTATGTTGCAAATTTTTTCAATGTTTTTTTAAGTTGAAAGAATGATTATCAACATTTTGAAATTTTGAGGAAAAATGTAAGACTCTTCGTTGTTTTTACGAAAGCTACAGTACAGATTTGTGTCCCACAGAATCCAAAACCCAAAATTTATTCAGAGGGTTAAAATAGAACTAAACTGCTTGACGTATCTATACTTTCTGTGACTTTACCTCAGATTACAAAAAATATTTGCACGATATTTCAAATTTCAGTGTTACGGAGCTTTTTAGTTAGTTTGCAGTCATATAAATAGATTGTATAAAATTATACGAGGTGGTGAGCAGAGACGAGTTATTCCATAAAACCTTGTCAATTATAAATGAATGATTTCTATTGTTACTCAGGAGTCTGCGGAGTGTAATATCCATGTAAAAATATTTGCGCCCTCAATATGAATCAACGCATCATTCGTTACACGCAGTCGCGACAATGGCCACATGATACACTATTGACAGGAGAATAACTTGAGAAACTATGTGTAGGCATATCGTGACGTTGGAATAATACGATTCTCGACTTTGGCGGGTCAAGATTTCCCCTCTTATAATATATATTTTTAATGATCAAACTAGGTTGAATTCGATCTCTGATATTTTTGCATGATATCACTACGAGGATACTTTTTAATGGTGAGGCAGAATCTTGCAAAATTCACGGATTAAAAAATCACGGTCTCGATACATCATTAAACATTGATATCGACGGTGAAAGTCGGCAATCACATAACTCGTTTGCGGTGTCTGAAAATCTCCGCCTCTACGTCATTTTTTTAAAGGAGAACAAATTGATATTATGTCTTGAAGTTTTTGCAGAATTTTCTTCGCATTGAGAAGAAAAATCATGACAGTTTTAAAGAACTGCCGTTGAGTAGTTTTCCATTTAAAAAATAAAGTATGACAGGAAGTCTGCGACGTCGCAAACCGAGTTATGTGATTGCCGACTTTCACCGTCGATATGCATTCGTCATGCATTTTGAACATCCGATGTAAGTCTTATCGTCTTACTGTGGACACGTGCTGTCATTGAAATTTCACACCACAGTTGACATTTTCTGACCAGCGTGTGGCACAGTCGCAGGAAATTAGCACTTACAAAGTTTACGTTGGAATCAACTATTGAGCAGCTTTCACTCTGTATTTACATAGGCGGATCCAGGTGAGGGAGGGGGAGTGTGCAGATGGAGGGTCTGGAAGGTTTCCAGAAAATTTTCAAAATTTTAAAGCATCTAATATGCAGTTTGAGTCATTCTCGTCATGAAAAATTGCCAAATACAAGCGTCCTTTCTTCTTCTGTCCTTCGTTCCTTCCTTTCTTTTCATTTTTATCTCCTTTTTTCAGGCAAACGGGGGAGGGGGGCATACGCCCCCCGTTGGATCTGCCTACGCTTAGTCATAACTTTTTTTAAGGGCTAATAAACCCCGGAGGAAATTCAATCCGGATGTAATTACGAGATTTCTATCCGGGTGAAAAAGCAGAGGTCTGGTAACCACCAACATTTTATCCAGCGTCAAAATAGAATATTGCTATGGAATCGATCTCCAGATTAATAATGTTTTTCAATTAATATATGTTAATTGCATCAAAGAGTTTGAAAACCGAAAATGAGCGCATTTACTTCGTTGTATCGTTGGCCCCATAGATCACATCCGTGTGTGTCCAAATTTAAATGCAGTTTATCAAAAAACCGAAGGCAGCAAACACGCTGGACATAACGCGAGTTTCCACGTTTCTATTCGAGCATGTTTCCAGACACAAAACCGAACAAGAGTATTGTTTGATGAACCTTAGAATTCAAGCGT